ACGAAGTCCAAAAATGGATGGATAAATGGATCGCCTCAAAAGACACCGCGTTCTACCGTCGTGGGATTGCCCTGTTGCCGGAGAGATGGGAAAAAGTAGTAGAAAATGGAGGAAGTTACTTTGGTTAATGTATTCATTCATCTTCCCTTCGAAACAAATCGACTTTCGAGACGAAAAAACGATAGAAATTAAGTTTAACACCTAATAATTTCACTTTTTTGTATTTCTCTGGCTAGCGATGTATTTACGTCGTATCTTTCGTAGTTATATATTAAGAAGATGACTTCCTGTGTAAAAATTTTACCACGGTGATGTCTTCATCTATTGGAAAAGCACCAAACCAGGATGCGCATAATTACCCGCTGTGCATAGTTTCCCCACTTTCCCCTAAATAATAAATACAATATACGGCAAGTAAGAGTCCAACATATAAATTTATATTCAACAACCAAGAAATTACAAATTTGAAGTTATTATATAATTATAACAACTTATTTTGGCCTTAAGATTAGGCCCTCTTCAGATATACTAAACGTAATGATGTTACAACATTAAACCAGTATTGGTAGTCATGGAATTCGATGTATATATATGTCAAGAGACTGGATGAAAGTTGAACTGAGGAAACGAAATTACTCGTCAAAACATTGGAAAGGTTGGAAAAGATGCAAATATATTACTGAATCTCAATACAGATATTTATCTTATATAGTGATGGGTTACTCTCGAGGGTTTATGCTCTGCCAAAAATTCACACCGAACTGTCAGTTTAGTATTATTGTGTCATATATAGGCAGTCCGTTATATACCTTAGCCTCCTTTCTACATAACATATTATAATTATTGAGTCAATTCCAAAAGCGGAGAGCTATATAAAAAACAGTTTCCAACTTGTTGATAAACTAAGAGGAATGTATATATATATATATGATAATTATGAACTAATTTCATTAGACGTCGTATCACTTTTTACGGACATTCCGATTGACATAGTCTTGGAATGTGTTAATAACAACTGGAATTTTATATAAAAAAATGTAATTTACTAAAAACGGAGTTTTTGATTACATTTCGCTTAATTTTAGATTCTACGTATTTTGTATTTGATAATATTATTTATAAACAGAATTTTGGCACGCTAATGGGCTTTTTTTTGTCATCTATCATTGCTGATTTGATAATGCAAAGATTAAAAAGAATAGAATTGAGTTTATTTAATGATCATGTTCTTTTTTATTTCCGATATGTCGATGACTTATGTGCTGCAGTTCCATTATCCGAGGTTCTCACTTTTTTTTGAATGCTTTAATTTGTTTCACCCACATCTCCAACTCACCTTGGAGATTGAAGGACATTCATTACATTTTCTAGGCGTCCAAATCATGAATTATCATTAAAAACAATCTCGTAACTTTGGATTAGTATCATAAACTTGGTTTTTCGGGTAGAATTTTGAATTTTTTCTCCAATCATCCATTTTCTCAAAAAAAGGGGTAATTTTAAGTTTGGTGAATAGGGCTATTTTACTGTCAGATTCAGAATTCCATGAGAAAAATGTAACACTAATAATTGACATTTTATTGAATAATGACCATCCACTAAAACTCATTTTTGACACAATTAATAAGAGACTAAAAAGCATCAAAGTTAGAGATGCAGCGTTTGTTGATCGAGTTAATGATAACGAGGATCCATCGGTTGTTCCGATCATGGTACCTTTTATTCCGTTCTTGACTGAAAAATTTAATAAGTTTAATAGGAACGATATCAAGGCATCTTTTTTCAGTTCGAATAAACTACAAAAATATCAAAGTACACAAGGATCCTCGTCCTCACTTCTCGAAAAATAATGTTTATAAGACTAAGTGCAATAATTGTGAGGTATCGTATGTAGGACAGACGGGGAGGTAAAAACTCGAATCTCGGAACACCGAAATCATATATGCTGGAACACATCTTCCCGTTCCGTTATAACTGATCATAGAGTAGAACTAGAACGTGATTTTGATTGGAGTAATGTTGAAGTCCTTGATGAAGAACCATGTTATAATAAACGGTTAGTTTCAAAGATGCTACATATTAAACAACAAAAAAACAGCCTTAATCTTCAAACTGATACTTATATAAAGTGTATATTCCGATTGTAAACAAGGTCTGACTTTGCATTACCAAGATCACATTCGATAGATTATTTTTCGTTTAGTCAATGTGGAACCATCTCGTAACAGTCACACATCTCTAATTTTATTCCGTGACTGATTTTACATCTTTTCATACAATTTATTTTTTATTCATTGGAGAATTCATTTTTATATGGAATATGACTGTTCCTCTCATTTTGAACTACGGTTATATATAATTATTTATAATCACACTGACTAATATATTCTGACGAACATCGTACCAACGAAGTATAATAATTCTTCCTAATAATTGGTGAGTGTTCTATCGAAGTGACGTATTTGCTTGCTTCATAATTAAATATAATTAATCTAATTTACATTTGTATTAGAATATAATGAAGTTCCTTTCAATCGGTCTTCCAATCTTTTGGTGAGCAATTTCATTTCCTCAGTTCAACTTTCATCCAGTCTCTCGACATACGTATACATCGAATTCCATGACTACTAATACTGGTTTAATGTAATAATATCATTGCGTTTAGTATATCTGAAGAGAGCCTAATCTTAAGGCCGAAACATGTTATAATCGATTATTATATAATAACTTCAAATTTGTAATTTCTTGGTTGTTGAATATAAATTTATATGTTAGACTCTTACTTACCCTATACTGTATTTATTATTTATTGGTATAAAGAATCCTTTATTATCATTAATCTAACTTTGACCGATTATTGGGGTTTTCTATCATATTTATGTAAATTAAAAATATGTTATTCAAAGTAAGATAAACTTTTATTTTATGCATTTCAGAGCGCAGCAAGCGAGTTCTATGAAACTTTCAATGGTGCTCCCTACAACTCTCTAGAACCAGATGTGGTTTGTCACATGGTATTTGTATCCCGAGTCGAAATAGGGAACAATGGAATGCCCCTGAGTGGACACACAGAATTGCCATCATGTCCCGTTTGTCTTGAAAGAATGGATGAGAGTGTGGATGGAATCCTGACGATATTGTGCAATCATACTTTTCATTCCAGCTGCCTCGTTAAATGGGGTGACACATCCTGTCCAATTTGTCGATACGCTCAAACACCAGAGCCATTGGCAGATAGTCGTTGCATGGAATGTGGTAAATGTTTATCTAATTGCTTTGAATTGTTTAAACTTGAATTTAATTTAATAAAATATACAATTTTTTAAAAGAAATTTTAAGAAATTACTTAAAATTGTTTGATTAAATTTTACATTGTATAATAATATCTGGCACATTTCGCATTCTTTCAGAAAAAGACATGGTTGGAAATGATTGGAATCTTCGGGGTGATACCGATTGATCACGACTCGATTGGACACCACCAATCACAGCGACCGGTGCTTAGGAGCTCTGTAGTCTCAAGCGCTGTGAGTGGCTTGTGTCCAATTAAGCCGTGTCCAACTGGATGCCACCCGAATCTTCTGTCATATTAGAGGCCTCTTTTAATATGTTTTGCACGAATTTCTTTAGTTGCAGATGCCAGCAATGATGCTTTATGGATTTGCTTGATCTGTGGTCACATAGGCTGCTCGCGTTATCATCAAGGTCATGCGTTTGAACACTACCGAGATACACATCATTGCTACGCGATGCAGTTAGGCAATAATCGCGTCTGGGATTACGTAGGCGACAATTTTGTGCATCGGTTATTACAGGACAAAGATGGTAAAATGGTAGAAGGTGGCTGCTCAACAACCAAGAGTGAGGGTGCTGCTGTGGAGGATAAGGTAGATTCAGTACAGTTAGAATTCACATATTTGCTAACGTCACAGTTGGAAACGCAACGACAATACTATGAAGAGAGGCTTAATCGTTCAGAGCAACGTTCTATAGCAGAGCTTACCGAGCTGAGAGATAAATTGGAACAAGTGCTCGAGGAAAATTCACAGCTCAAGGTACATAAAAATAATAGTAAAATGTATGTATATTACCTTGTCTTCTTCTTTCCCTCTTCCCCTTTTTCTTTTATCTTATCCTTATTCCTCTTTCTTTCCCTTCCTTTTTTTTGCTTTCTTATTTTTCCTTTTCTATTTTTCTTAACTTTACTGCTTTTAATTATACTATGAAGAAAATATTTCTTTATTTTAACAGAAACAATTTACGACGTTTAATCGCGATAAGCAGACGTTGGACAAGCGTCTACAATATTCTACCAATAAATTGGCACAAATTCAAGCGGAATTAACAGAAGAAAAAGATCTGCGAAAAGCTCTAGAATTAAATCAGACTTCGTGGCAGGCAAAATACAAGACATTACTAGATGAACTGTCCGCCAAAGAAGCAGAGATTACTGATTTAAAAGAGCAGAATCGGGATCTTATGTTTTTTCTTGAGGCTCAAAAACAAATTGATGAATCCGTCGATCGAGATGAGATCACTACTGGTCGTATTGTTATTCCTCCAAGCCCTAAAAGCGAGAAATCATCCGGATCTCGCGGACGTAAAAAAAAGCATTAACTAGATCAAAAATTGGAGGACTAAATCCAAGAATCATGAGACCTGGAGGCGATTTCTCTGAAAAGTGAGGCCAAGAACCTCTTTAGATCCATCGCGCTAGAAGAAACAAAAGAACTTCATCAAAGATCATTAAACACTTAAACTTCAAATTCTTTTGATCTATTTAGACCTAAATCTTTTCCAATTATCATTTGAGAATTCTTTTCATCAATATGCAAAAGAAAATGCAAAACGCAATATTCTGAGTTAGAAGAACGATTATAGTGAGGAAAAAACGTCATACATAAAAAAGAGTGTACTGAAGTTAATTTTTAAAATGTGCGAAGAAGAAATAATCTAATTGTTACGATTTTATCAAATTATTGTTTATTTTTTATTTAATTTACAGATATGCTAATATAAGTTTAAGATTATTGGTTTTTTACTACATTAGTGCATCTCTATTGGATTGCAATATCAGAAGCGAGAAATTATATAAATTTTCTTTATGTATTATATTTCAAAATAAATAAATTATTTCATATATCTCATATAGTCTCATCCTGCTTAAATCCCGGATTATCACGAAATTGATGGGAACTCAATTGTCCTGGTGGAAAAGTATGATCGTTCGAAGATCTCAAATTATCAGCATTATCATAAATTTCATACGATTGTCGAATCTGTGTCCTTCTTTTTTCTGCTAAAATTGTTGATCGCCTCCGCTCAAAGGCATTAAACGCACTTTTCGGCATTTGCGAGGACATGCGTTGTGATAAACCTGTAAAAATAGACAAAAAATATTCGAAAAATGTAATAAATAAAAATATATATAAAAGTAATATCAAATATAGTAATTGATGCCATCGCACTGATCTAGGAGTGTATGATATGTGTAACATTGTTGCTTTTATGCTAAAATGTTACATGATTTAAAATATAAAATGCACGCTATACTATACATTATACATGCACTGTCCAAATGTATTATCTTTGTGTTTAAGATGTAATATACAAATGCAAAATTACAAGCAGAGTTAATATATGTTAGAATGATTTTAAAAAATTGAAAACTAAATTAAATACTTATTGTTAGTAATAAAACCAACGTCAATTATTAACTATAATAATAAATAAATTTTATAATGTTTTTGTCTTTATCCTTATCGGAGAGGAAAGCGAAATAGTTATTGAATTTATAATATATAACAAAAACTAAACAACATATATATTTTGCTACAATATTCAAGTTATATTTTAAAATTCATTGTCAATGTGAAAATTTATAGTGTACATAACTTAAATTAGATTTTTAGTTGTGAATTTTGGAACACAACCCCAATATGTTTAAATTTTTCAATCTTCCTATTTTATTTTTTTTCTAATATTTTATCATCTTTTATTTATTAGTTATCTTCAGTTATTACTTCACATTTATTTTAACTTTAAAAAACAATTACGTTTCTGCTACACTATCCTTTTCAAAAACGTGAACGTAAACAGGAAATAAGAATTCAATTTACTATTATACACAACATTGTTTTATAAAAGCTCTTAGAAGTATAAAATCGAAACAATATTGCTGTCTGTTGCTTATCCGCGATATTTAATATATAGTCGAATCTTCGTATTTTGAATTCTACATTTTTCCTTTTTTCTTCTCTTGTGATACTGGCCCAATTTCATTTCATGTTTAATATTTAAACAAGTAAACAATAATACACAAAGCACAATTTCAAACAACAATTAAAAGCAATTATACCTGAACTTGGATCACGAAGCTTTCGTCGAAACAACTTTTCAAAGTTTCCTAATATCTTCAATGATCTCTTTGATGATCTCTTTGATGATCTCTTCGAATTTCCCGGTAATTCATGTACATTTCGCTTGCTAAGAGAAGTTACGGTACTTCGTCTGAGTTCAAATATCACGTCGTCCTCCGCCATACATTGAAGTATCTGTGCTATCTTATTAGCATGTTTTTCGAAAACGCTGTCTTCTGAAGAAGTTATCTGATAATAATAAGAAGAAACGATAGAAAGACACTATGGGCATTTTCTAACAAAGACACAGACACTATATAACACAGTGAATCATTTCAGCCTTGTTTAACGTAGGCAAATAACAAAGATGTAATATTACACTGTGTCTGACTATATCCTTGCTAAAAACACCTTATAATCGTAGAAAAAAAATTCAATTTTTAAGGAATTTCTTTATCGCATCCTCTCAAAATAAATTTGTATTGTATTTCCAAAAGTTTTCAATAAACTTACTTAAAGAAAATCATAGAGTTAATATAATTTATTTTTCACTATATGTATTTGTGATGGATGTGATTATATAATTTATCTTTTACTATATGTATTTGCGAAGGAAATAAAAAAGGAGTTTTATATTGGTGAATGTTCTTTTTTTTTTTTAATATTACCTTAGTACAAGAAGGAAGTTTCGTATTAGCAAGTACATGAGAAAACGTATCTAATCGATGAAATAACATAGCGCAGAACTGGATACCTAATATACTGACAAATGCGACGATAAATAGGCATCCTATCGGTTCAAGTCTTAAATATTCTTTTGTTAAATGTACCTATATAAAATTGACACATGTAATTTTAATTATTTATATAAGGTTGCAGTTTCAATAGTTATATAATAATTTAATTACCAAATTATTAAATTTAAGCAACACTTTAAATAACTTTAGAAATAAACAAGTTGAATTATTTCTATTTGAATTGTAACATTATTAAATGTAATAATTGTATAATAATATGTGAAATTATTGCTAACGAAACATTTAATAAAATTATTTTTATTATATATTTACCTCATTTTTTTCTGAATAGTATGTAATATTGTACTTCATTCCAAGTGGCCATTGCAAGTGCAGTCTATCTTTGTTTAATTGCATAAGGAACACAATTAGTACAAACAAAGCATTTAGCATGAAGAATTTTGATAAATATGCATCACGACAATTGATCAGTTCTTGAGTTATTTTGTTCTAAAAAGAATATAAAAATAAGGAAAAAAGAAAGAAAGAGAAATAGAATAGAAAGAAACATTCAAATATCTTGATAACAATAAAATTATCATCTCATCGTTATCTTAGAACCAGAGACCCAATACCGTTTGATTTACTGGTAACGCTATTACAGTTACAAAACTGAATACCGAAATAGTGGAATATCGTAATCGGCTATACCGAAATAATTTCAGTACTCATATATTGTTACGATTATCGAATACCGTTATAATATCGTTATAATACCGATATTAATATCCATATCGTTATAATACCAAGTTTGTAGAAGCAGTCACACATCATGAGTCAATTTTTTAGCGAAATTAATTTTATTAAAATGTTTATAAGAATAGAACGTAATAAGGAATATATATATATCATAGAATAATAATTATAACATATAACATAGAAGTAATTCAAGTAATAGTTTATAAGATATAATTGGAAAGTAGTTTATAATATAGAATATTAATATCCTCTGTCCTAGATATCTTAATTGTATAGTGGCAAAATTTTAGAAATGGTTGCAACGGACTACGAGAATGTCATCAACTAATTCTTTTGAAAGATTAGATCTTAGCGGGGATAGAATGAATTTTAAAGCGGAGAATAGACGTTCTACGCTGACTTGTGTAGCCGGAGCGGCTAAAATAATCTTTGAGAGCTCATACAGTTCTGGCATCGCTAATTATTTGTTTTCCCAAAACTCCAAAATGCTTTCTTTGGTCTTTAGCCTTGGATGTTTTGCATGGGTTTCAAGGGCATTGATAATGTTTTCAATAACAGTTGTGCATTTGTTCCGACGGCGTCTTTTTTTCTTTTCCGCGTTTCGGAGCAATATCTCCATTTCATCTGCATCCGATTCCTCATTACCGGAAACTGCTGTATCAGATGTTGTATCGGCGCTTGTGTTTTTTCTCACTCTCTGTATATGAAGCCATATCTTTCGAATATAAATCGTAGCTCTCGTCGTTTCCTGCGCGGATAATAATACACTAAAACGGGTATCCATGAACATTCCTGCGAGAAATGGTTCTGATTGAAAAAGTTGCTTTTCTCGGGCTTTCATTGCTCGCACTAAGGCTTCAGATAATGTTGTGCCAAACTTTTGTGTGCGGAGGATACAACATGTCCATTCTTTGTATAAATCCCCGAAAGTCAACTGTTCACGTTGTAGATTTTTAGTGGCTACTCTGCATGGCGTAAGAGTTTGGACAATACTTTTAATCTCTGTCCATGCTTCTTGTGGCATATGAAGGCTCTTCATTGGTCTCGCAGATATCACGGAACTCCAGTAACCGCTCCAACATATCAACTGTTGAGTTCCATCGAGTCACGCAATCAATTATTGGTTTACGCCGCTTCATTGCTTTTAGTATCCCCTTTAATGTCGGCGTTCGTAATTTTTTCACTAATTTACGTGCATTCTCAATTGTTTCTCCCAGAGCACAACTTTTAAAAGCATCACCTATGGCCAACTGTAAAGTGTGCGCCGCACAGCTTATTGACCGTACATTGTACTCAGGAGAACTTATTGCTACGGGATGACCAGTGTAGTTTCTTACATTTATTTCTGTGTCAGAAGAACCTTCCGCATCAGCGGAAAATTCATACGGTTCTGACAAAACAATATCAGAAAAATCATCTGATTCATTCCATGTTACCATGTGTGCATCCGCATCGTCTTCATCAGAATGTTCTGTGACATCCTCCTCTTGAATAATATCTACGAGCTGCTGGCTACCCAACAATTTTATCATTTTTTGCATATTGGACGCGTTATCTGTCGTTATGGTGTAAAGTTGATGGATAGATATACCATACATATTCAGTATGCTCAATATTTCTAATTTAAGAGCTTCCGCTGTATGACGTTCTGTCATTTCCACAACGGCAAGAGTTTTTAACACTATTTTCTTATTGTATATGTACTGTAAGTTTACACCTAAAAAGGAGCGATCCATGCATGTAGCGCAATCAACTTTTAAGCTTACTAATTTACCTTCAACTTCTTTGGCAATTATATCACGAATGGATCGTGCCCGTTCAGTGACAGCTTTTTTTATTTTTGCAGCATTGACGGTAACAATTTTGTTTGTGCCAGAACCTGGAGGTATCATCTTAATAATGTTCTTGAATGCTATATCATCCATCAGAGCAAAAGGTCATCCATGCACAGTGACAAGATTCACACATTCGTGTACGACTCGCTCTTCACGTGCGCGTTTTCTAGGGCTTCCATCTGATGGATCATCAAAACAGGAGGATGTATCTTGGAAAGACTCACGCTTGTATTGTTCATTTTTCATCACAACGGTAGTATATGTATTTCCGTGATTTTTCGAGAGGTGGGATAGCAGGTTTGACGCATGATTGCCCTGTACAAATCATATTTGTTAATATTTGATAACGAAGCTTGCGGAGATAGATTTTGAGCAGAGACTGCCATCAATTTTTGATTGCAGAAAGGCAACAAATTGTGCACAGAGTTTGTATTATCCGATATTGTCAGAAATATGACAAAAATTGCTAGACATGCTATGTCTATGAGAGAATCAGAACCTGTCTATAGTTTTGTAGTCAAAATCTGATCAAGTTTTTTGCCAATTTGACCTCGTCAAATTGTTAACATTTTGCTATTAGGATAGTTATTCAGAGATGTACGATGTATGATAATTCGTTATGTACCCTTACCTTCACGTCTACTTTACAAATTGAGCATTTGGACGTTCTCGCGATTCTGTCATAAACAAAATAGCCGTGGACAGCATTCACTTTTGGTCGACCCATCATTACGTTCTGCTGATTCAGATAATTTCACTTAACCGTCGATATAAATAATAACCAACCAATATAATAATAATAAAGTAAACGAAGGTTTATTAAACTTTAAGGTTATACGCGCTACTGATCAGATTTAGGAAAAAAAAAACAATGCCTATGATCAAATACAATCCGACAAACTTCTTAATTCCGAGCGTTCGCGTTTTTTCGAGCGATAACGCGGAAGCAGTAAGCACACATTAAAAACTGGTGACTCCGGTTAGGTACGAATTGTATGAGTTAATCTAATAATCGGTTTAGCATCCCCTTAAACTAAAACTTTTTCATCACTGTAAACACAAATTTTACGAAGTGACAAATTACCCCTCGAATCATAATAATTATTTTATTTTGAAAATCAAACATAATTTTATATGAATTTGATCCTTACTTGAATTAATCCGAGGCAATAAATAAATAATATTATTATTTAATAACGTTGATATCAATATAAAACCGATATTATACCGGTATTCGAACCGATATACATATATCCATATCGGTATCATGTTTTATCGATATTTTATCATTTCGGTTTGCCATACCGGTATGAAAAAAAAACCGAAAAACTATCAATATTATTTCGGTACTTCGTTATCGTTATAGGTCTCTGCTTAGAACATATATGTATGAAACTTGGATAGCTATTCTTCAATGTTCAACATCATGTAATCACAAATAAAATATTATATGTGTGTGTGTATATATATCAAATTCTTTTCTGTCACATGATATTCTTATTGTTCTACGTTTGTTATTATCACACTCAATAAACTTATGAAGCAAAGATGGATATCTATTCTTTTCATATATTTCAAATATTTTATAACGTACATATGTATTGCTCAGATTGATTAATCATGTTTGCGCGCGCGCACGCACGCTGTGTGTGTGTGTGTGTGTGTATTAAAATATCAGGGTTGGGGGGGGGGG